ACCATATTGGCATCACGGTTGCTCCAAGTTATGCTTGCATCCCATTCCCTTGCAAGCCTAAAGGATGAAGTTCTAACCTCACTATTAGGTATCCAAAAATGAGTCTGCAAATTCAATTCATCTAAATGCTCCCGGTAAATGACAACTATGCATACTTATCAAAACATAATTAGAACTTGGAAGGCGCAAAAGAAACTCTCTTTTTCACAGCTATTTCCGTTACTATCACGGGAGAGGATCGGCCTTGCTTTAATAATAATAAATGATCATTTGAATTTTATAACCAAGTCGTATTTTGGCTATGTATGCAAATCTATGGAGACCAGTCGAAAATCTTTCCGGGAGTTTTATGGTTGGCATATGAATTATAAAAACTGCGAACAAGAAAGTGAAGAAATGAGAATGAGGAAGATATAGTAGAAATGAAGAGGAAAGAAGGTTGAGAAGAGCATTCTCTTTTTTGGAAGTCTTTAAATCATCTTCAAGAATTCCAAAGCGTACGTGTGGTTAAAACTGCTCCTTATTGTAAATTTGTGCTTGGTCTTTTCCAAGATTGAGGTCCAATATTAATTAACTTCTATTCTAATCCTACCCCGGATGAAGAGGATTGATATTTGGAAAAGAAGACCATTGTTAAGATCCACGAGTTTTGTCCGCAATTCATTTGCTCTAATAACAATTTTAACTACTGATTGATTGGTTCGTTTCAAACTGCATCTCGTTAAATTTTGAGAGTTATATATGTGTGTACGCGCGCGTACGCAATTGTATAAGCATGCCACTGGGCAATATGATTTCCAAGTCAAGTGATAGTATAAACGTGATTATGCAGAGTCTCATTAACTATATACTATGTCCTTTGATGCATAGGTTCAATTGGATTGTTAGAGAGAGAGAGAGAGAGAGAGAGATATGAGATGTTTTACTTTATAATTAAAGCCTCATCATAACAACTTAATGAATCTATCATTAAGTTAATTACTCCTGATGATCGTTATTTGATCCATCATTCTTATGTAGATATATATGTTATTGTGACAAAAACCAAATGCTTCGTTCGTCAGTGGCATCATCAGCTTTGGGTGCGGTTCAGGAGGCGAAGATCAGCAGAATACTGAGCTATCCAACTTTTGATAATGTCAACCTCTTGTCTTCGTTGTTGGATCAGCCAGTCGGGATCGCTTTGGTTTGCACGCAGCATATCCAAGCAATGCGACCCAGAAAATTATTTCAAAGTGATCAGTTTCTTTCTTTTCTCTTTTCTCTTTTCTCTTCTCTTCATACATATATTTGTGCGTATGTATGCATATTATATGAATATAAAGTACCATTGACTGTGGAGATGGCGATCACACTATCTGATATGTTGTGGAGGACCCTGAAATACATTGAAAGATTCGCATAAGTCTGTTTTGAAGTTATATTTATGTCTGATTCTGAATAATAGATCATTTCAAGGATGCTTACCCGCCAGCACTGAAAGGATCTCTCAACCCATTTGAGAAAATAATGTTGCTAGCAAACCTTTGAAGGATCAGTTTTATATCCTGTTGTCGTGGACGTACGTACGGTGATTACCAGATGAAAAATCATCAATATCTTAATTAATGACACTAAGATCTATTGAAAATAATTATTGCATGCGAAACAAAAGCAATGTGTGTTCTTGTTCTTTCATAAAACAAAAGTAATGTGTGTTCTTGTTCTTTCATATATCTATATGTATATATATGAACTAGACAGATGCATAATTTCTCATGAAAACCCTTTTGAGAATTAATGAGTGTATGATAAACAAATTAATTAAGAAGGCTTACATGACCTCCATAGTAAGTAGTGACCCAATGGGGACGAGGTAAGACACCATAGTCACGCTCGCATTGCTCCATAAAGCTCCTTAGGTCGAAAGGTTCGGGAGGGAACATCGTACCATTTCCACGCTCAATTTGCATCACCATCTCACTACAACGCTAAAATTACAAGCCAAATATCTTTTCATTTTAACATCAAAAAAAGGACAACTGCTTATATAACTAGCTAGCAGCTTGCAATTAATGATTCTTTTTTTTTTTTTAATAAAAAAAGGGTTATCTATATATGATGATCAGTTCCCAGCAGGCATTACATGCGTACACATAATAGCAGTTTGCTTTTTTTTTTTTTTCCTTTTTTTTTAAACAAATAGATTTCTGTCTTCTTCATATGTACGGTAGAGAATGCTATTACACCAAATGAGGCTATTAAATAGTAATGAAATAGAATAAACACACGGATCAAATTCAAACATCAATCACTAGTTGTCATCCTGATTAAATGTAATTATATATGCACGCGCGCGCGCGCCCATACCTGCCATCCCCAGCCTTCAGCTGTCTCCTTCTCAATTGCATTAGCAGGGCCATTAAATTTGCATGAGTCATTACCTTTATATTTATAATAAGCAACAACGCCTTCGTATATCTTACTGAGTATATCACTTCCTGATGATGCTCCATCAATGGCACCACAGATTCCACTAACTGGATATAATGGTGGATGATTATATTGAGCTGCACGAGCATACATGTCCTCCAAGTGCCGCCTCAACTCAGAAGACGAATTTAAGGGCCTAATAAGAAGAATTTAAAAAAAAAAAAAAAGACACGGAGACAGTAATGAAATGCAAAAATCATATTATTACAGGGTGAGTGATGAGATGACTTTATTATTAAGCTGAAGCCTAAAAGCAACAAAAAGGTGATAGAAAAAGTTAGTATTTTTACCGGCAAGTGTTGAATCTCTGGCTAAGGATGGAAAGACCATTTGGCTCGGAAGCTACTCTGTCTATTTCAGGCCAGGAGTTTAGAATAGTTTCATGGCATGTTTCACTAGCTTCCTGCATATATAACTCATTTTCATTCGTCGGCAGGTTTCATTTCATATATTTAATTTTTTGTATTACTTTAATATGATAATCGAGTGTATGTTAATTATTATGATGATAAGGACATATTCTATGATAAGGACAAAAGAAGATCAAACGTCAAACTATGGTTTACTTACTCGAAAATCCTTCGAGACAATAGAGATGTAACCGTTTTGTGGGGTGATATTATCAAAATAGAGGATTGGAGCAAAGGATGCTAGCGCCCCAAGAGCCACGTGGGGATATTTCAGTCTAAACCATGAAGCAAGCACTGCAGAACAAACATATTTTAAGAAATAAATATTTATGTCAGAATATAATTGAAACGTAGTTAAAGAAGACTGTTTGAGGAACTAACTTCCACCATATGATCCTCCAAATACGATCATGGGGGACTGCTGGGCCTGTAAAGTTTCCTTAATATGTATGAGAATTTCTGCGTAATCAGCAAGGGCTTGAGCTGAGTTGAAATACCCAATAGTGCTTGTGTTCATCGCTTCTTCCCTTGATCCAAATGGGACTGATTCCCCATAGTATCGATGCTGGTGAGAAATAATAATTGGGATCAAAACATGCAAAATCTTTAGACGATTTTGAGTTGAATGGATCACAGTATATGAGAATATTCGGATGAAACATGACAGTATACTTCAAATTACGCCAAAATCTTACTTCGATGAATACCACTAGAGCGCTAAAGGCAGCGGCATTATCAGTTGGAAATCCTACTACGCTGAGGATAAGATCTAAAGGAGCTTCAGCACCAAAGTAAGCAAATATAGGAGCACTGGAATTGGCACCACCCCAATACTTGAAATTGATGAGATATCTTTGTTGAAAATCTGTGTAGCTTTCATGCCCGTAGTTGAAGTGATCCAGAGTCTGGTTGTAATAGAATGTTTTGAAGTCCCCAGTATCTGATGCAGCTATTAATGTTTCTTGGTCTTTTAAGGTTGTTCCTTCAATTGCGCTCAACCCAGGAATTGTGATGGATTGAGTTTCAGAGAGACACGTTATGTGTATCAGAAAAACGAATAGGAGCCATTGAAATGGCAAGGAAGAGTGTTTCATTGTGTTAAAAGTAGCAAAATGGCTTTCACTCCTTGAGGTTTCTCTTGTGTTTCAGACAAGGAATTCAAAGACGTCCTTTTTATATAGCATATGATGCTCAGAAGGTTGTGTTTGTATTTTTCAATGTGTAATAACTTATGGATACGTACGAGGGGGTGTACTTCGATGTAAGAAAAGAGCGATCAGTCTTCTTTTAGATCATAGTAATACTCGCAAGAATATTCAATCAAATGTAGAGCTGTGAATCGGTTTAATCAGAGTAACTATGTTTGACCCGGAGTTTATTTCGATGGAAAAAAGGTGATTGAATATTCTTGATTGGTTAACAGGATTGTCCACAAGGATATAGCTTAATGCTTGATGACCATCAAGGTCACAGTAGCACTTTTTCGGAGACAAGTTTTTATAGTTGCTCCGTAACCAAATCTCATGCGAACACGTTAGACAGAGTGAATGTTTCCCCTTCATTATTATTTCTTAGTAATGCTCGCCGCCCATTGACTGCAAGGATTTAATTTTAGAGCTGTAAATCGGTTCAATCAAAATAACTGTCCGATTAGAGTTTTCCAATGAGAAAAAGGTTACCTTCGAATATATTATGCATTTATGCTAGCCTCGTGCAAAGAGTAAATTTTGGATAATTAGTTAATTACATATTGGCGGTCACACACACACACACACACACACACACACACACACACACACACACACACACGTATATATGCTTGTGAAAACGGGGCACAGGGAGGGATGAAGAGAGTAAATTCCTCATTGTTAATAGTTATCAATTCTTTCTTGCATCATATAGCTTGATGCGTAATGACCGTCAAGGTCAAATTAACAGTCTTCTAGGAGACAGGTTTTATAATTGCTCAATGAACATATCTCATGCAAATATGTGTTTAAACGGTCAGAGTGGTTTTTCTTTCTTTATTTCATGTCAGATTCACCACAAAAAGTGTGTGTGTGTGTGTGAGTGAGAGACAGAGAGAGTGTTCGTGTGTGAGAGAGAGTTGGCTGAAGATTTCGCAGAAGTTTGAAATATTAATAGACTTGATATTACTCCTCTCAGTTCCATGATCTGTTCGGGTATAAGCATCCTAACATTTCCCAGTACAAAAAATTGTGACTAAGCACAAGGAAAACTAATTTTGAAGAAAAACTACAAGTTTCTAACTAGAAGAATCTGTAAACTATATTGACAACGAATTGATGCGAGTGAGGCCCATGCACTAAGTGCAAGCAACCACAATAGAATATCAACCACGGAAGCACAGGCAGTTGACCTAGGACACTTGACCCGCAACTCAACCGGCAGCAGTAGTACATAATATACAACGCATACGATGACCATCCATCTCGGATTCTTCTTCATCCACATAACCATTATAATCATAATGTTCAGCCTTTCCGTTAGTGACTTCAATCTCTTTATTGCTACTGCTAGTGTCAGTGGAATCCATTAGACAGGTTGTGTGATAAGCATGACAGCAAAAGAAAACAACGACCGAGTCTGACACACTCTGAATGGAAAAAGGGTCAAAACATATACAGCATCTTCCACCTCCCCGATTCTTCGACTTTACTTCAACGTTTCTCAAAATTGTAGATTTCTCAACCACCTGAGAATCATGATTTTCAGTTCTTTTAGACCGTGGCTCGACCTCATTACTTAGATAAACTCCATGCCTCGCCTCTTTGTAATACTTAACCAACAGGTTGACACAGTCGGCCTATTTCAATGACGGAAAATCAGCAAAGATGTATTGTTGTTCCGATTAACTAAAATTTGATGATTTTCCCTTGTACCCAGGAAGGGTACAGGCAGGGGAGGGCCAGGGAAGAATATTACCTTCAGGATATCATTGCACCCATGTCTGAGTGATGTTTCAGTCCTGTAATCGGTGGTAATTTTAACCAGCCGATCCCTAAGTCTGCAAGAAAAACAGATAGAGATTTTATGGCTACTGAAGAAAAAAATGCTCCCATGCTAAGTTGGAATTAGAAGCCAGAATGAGATTGATAAGACCAATCGGTTGAAATTCTGAGAACGGTCCATAAAATGCATATTCACAACCAGAACTAGCGAGATAAGCATTGATATTATCAGATATAATAATTACAATAATAATACTGATTCATTGTATATGCCTGCTAATAAATAATAGGTTATGAAGAGATATTAGTTACCGGGGTATTTCCATGCCATTGGGAACCTTATTTACTATGTAGAGGGGATCAAGATTCCCAACAGTGTGTTCCAATAGAATACCCACCTATTAAATAAAAGCATCAAGTTTAGAACGGGTTGATAAAAGGCAGGTGTTGTGTGTGTGTGTGGGTGGGTAAAAGAAGTGACTAAAATATCCTATACATCAATTTAATTTTGAAATACCATTTCAGGTTTGTGTAGGCATTGCTTGATCAGTTCTTCCCAAAGTTCATCATCATGCTGCATTGTGACAAACTCTACAGCCTGTACCAAACCAGAATGGTCTCCTTATAACCATGACCTTAAACTTTAAAATCCCTTACGTTCTAAGTCAAGATTTGGAAGATGGTTGAAACCAAAAACCACTTCCATTGATGAAGATAAAAGTACCTCCTCTATATCCCCTAATTTATCTATAATCATAGATAGGGCTTGCTTTGAGTTGCCCATCCTTCCTAGGATGAAGATTTGCTCCCTCAATAGATCTCTTTTGATGCAAATTTCATAGGCCTGAATACAATGTCAAGAATTTGATTTAAATTTTACATAAATATAACTGTCGACAATATTCACAGGTTGACGTCAAACCTTCTCAAGGGTATAATGTTGACTACTGCGAAGAAATGGGAGCAGCATCTTTGGGTCATAATCTGCATAAAGTTCTACCTGGTACACGGCAGACAAAATGGCAATATTAGCACCAAAAAATAAAGTGTCTATGCACATGCACCAACTTACGAATCACTATTAATGTTAAGCTACATAAGATGGATTCTGCAATAATAAGACACCAATTCAAGGTGAACTGGAGAAGAATACAACACTAAGCACTAATACTGTAATAGCCTGCAATGATACAACTGGACCCCGACAAAGAATCCAAAACAAAAGGAAGCCTGCAAAGGTCAAGTGAAAGAAATAAAACCTACCTGCATATCATGAAATTCCTTCCCAGCATGTGGGTCTACTTCAAATAATGAATGAAGGTATAAATGTACAAAATATCTGTAGTCACGTTTCTTATCAGCATTCAGAAGTTGCTTCACAACTTCAGGTGAACTTATCAAGTCCCTGTTTTGAGTAAATAGAGCAACTGCACGCTTCCCATCCAGCATCATCAGTTGGACAACCTGAAAAAGCACAGCATAGACCAAGAAGAATCCGGGGATCATATAAAAAATTGAAAATGAAATAAAAGTGCAAACAGAATATGAGCTCATATGCCACTTCAAGTTGATAAATCAACGACTATTCTCTTTTAAGAACAACAATCATGTTTATATCTGCAACCAGTTCATGCTACTTCTCCAAGGATGGGAATCTATTAATTCATCCATTTTGCCATACACATTTTAAAAATCTATTTCGGAATCTCGTAGGTATGGGGTTCATTATGAATTCATTTGTTTTCAGATCAGCCGTTGTTCATTACATGAGATTTTAACATTATAATCAACTTATTTCTTTCCTTTTTATGTATAGAGCTATATTTATCATGCATTGCTTGCCTCCTTCACTCATGAGATCGGGTGGCAGACTCCTAGATCAATTATCTCCTTCATATGTACTGCTCCTACTCCAAAACAAAAAAGGACCAAAACAAACTTCTGAATTCCAAATGTTCGGAGTCTCTTAGAAAACACGCACTTGTATGCCATTGCAAGAATAAAAGTCAACAACTCCCCTTTGATGAACAGTATGTTTTACATCTGGAGACCCGATTTTAGATGTGTATTGGGATTCTATTGTTCATCCATTTCGTCATATGCATTCAATAAGTTTATGCGATATTGACAAACATGAATGATCAGATCCTAGTATACTGCAGCTAAACTTCTAAAGAAGATTATTCAGGTGTAACAATGCATAATGTCGGATGCCAACAAAGAGAAACAAGATGTGAATTCGATCGTCAGATAAGAATACGCAGAAACACAGAATTCCCAGATAAATCAAAATTTTATAGATTAGAATCACACCTTTTCTCGGACTGCTTCATGTAGATTATGTTCATCAATGAAGTCAAATATTTCTGGTTTCATAAGCTGAAAATTTCAAGCAAGACAGAGAAAAGTTAAGGAAATTAACAGCCAATCACAATAAAGACAAAAGACCTCAGAGCTAAAGCATTTGCATGATAATCAATGAATGTAATAGATATCTGAACACAAGAAAAGTGCACTAACACCACTTACATCAGCATACAATGAAAAGGCTTCCCCATATTGCCCGTTGATTACATATAACTCAGCCAACGCCTGCCCAAGAAAAAAGGAACATGTTAAAATGAAAAGATGGTTCACAAATTCAAAATGCTATTCCAACATATCAGACTAACCTCCTTCAGTGAATCAGTCATGGATGACGTATTGAGCTGAGGTTCAATTGCTGAAATAACTGGCAATGCGCTATAAATAACAGAAGGCCAGGATTTCACAATGGAAAGGAGATCCCTGTGAAAAGATGGATTTGTAGCCAATGCAACAAGAGCAACCTGTAGGCCAAACACAGAATAAAAAGTATTTCACCCCAACTTAGTTCATTACAGATACTATGCAAAGACATTATTTGTGACAAAGTCTATTTCATCCAAGCTAACCTCATAAGCAGTATCTCGCAGTCTAGGGTTTTCGGTGGGCATATAGGGGACCAATACAGGAAGTTGACGAAGGTGTGCAAAGTGGAAAACCCATCTGTTGACAGCAGTCCATTGTCAGTCTATAAATGAGAATTATTCAACAGACTAGTAAAAAACGCATGCAGTACCTTTCCCATGCTGAAGCTGATCCTCGCAGCAACTTGGGACACAAAGAAGCTGCTACAGAATATTTTCTTTCCACAATTAAATGATCAAGGTACCGGGATCCAACCTACAGGGATTGCACCAAAAATGGAATAGAATAATAATAATAATAATAATAATAATAAGTCCCAAGTATGCGCAGATTTTTCTAGAAGGTATGGGACCAATTACGCAGCAAGACTAATCCAGTCAATTTCAAGTTTCTCCGTAGATCGTATAGTCACAGTGATCTAATAGTTTCCCCTCTGAGCTTGCATCTCGTAAGTCTTCTATTATATAGTGTTAACAAACAATGGCTTCAATTTGTTATGGAAACCTCATTTCACAGCTATCGGTTAGTAATGGAGTACAATATAGGGATAATGTCATTTGGAAATACTAGGATTGAGGAATATCTTATATCTCAACGGATGAATTAACATACGTACCTCATCAAGAAGTTCACTCCTTCCTTGACCAGATTCAACTACAGCCAAAGCTTTTTCATGCCACCCATGTTCAAGAAGCCATGCAATATGATCTTCAGTATCCCTAAAATCAAAACACATTAATTTATCCATGCTTTCTAATTTGTATGATAACAAACAAAAATGAGAAACAAATGACAGTTACTCAAATAATTTTAATTTTTGTCAAACAACATGACATTGATAACACAATTACTTTTGAACATAAGAACAATACAACAACAACAACAAGCCTTATCCCACTAGGTGGGATCGGCTATATAAATCACACGACGCCATCGTGTTCTGTCAACAACCCAGTCTTTAGATATGTTGTTGACTAAGAAGTCTCGTTCAATGACCTCATTAAGCGTTCTTCTTGGTCTTCCTCTGTTCTTTTTTATGGGACTCCATCTTATCTGATCCACCCTCTTCACCGGGGCCTCCAATGGCCTTCTCTGCACATGTCCAAACCATCTTAAGCGATTTTCAACTATTTTTTCTTGGATAGGTGCCACACCGACTCTTACTCTGATATTTTCATTTCGAATCCTATCTTTTCTTATATGACCACACATCCATCTCAATATCCTCATTTCTACTACCCCAACTTTGTGCTCTTGTTTTTCCTTTATTGCCCAACATTCACTACCATACAACATAACCGGTCTTATAGCAGTCCGATAAAATTTTCCTTTAAGTTTCTCAGGTACCTTCTTATCGCAAATAACTCTGGTAGCTTTCCTCTATTTTAACCAGCCAGTTTGTATTCTATGAGAAACGTCTCTATCAATTTCCCCATCCTCCTGTATAATGCATCTTAGGTATTTAAACTTTGATACTTGAGGAATGATTTGTTCCCCCATCTTCACCTCCAAATCCCCATTGCCTTGCTTCCACCTAAAATCACAATGCATATATTCTGTTTTGTTCCTGTTCAAGCGGAAACCTTTCGACTCCAAAGCCCTTCTCCATAACTCCAATCTAGTGTTAATCTCTTCTTTTGATTTTGCCATGAGAACTACATCATCCGCGAAAAGCATGGACTTAGGGATTCTTTCTTGAATAGGTTCAGTTAGAACATCCAGAACAATGTTGAACAAGTACGGACTCAAAGAAGATCCCTGATATAGGCCAATCCGAATAGGGAAGTCCTTTGTCTCACCTCTAGGCGTCCTTACACTAGTAGTTACCCCCTCATACATATCTTGTATGGTTTTGATATAAGCAACCCGTACATTTTTTTTTTTCCAAAACCTTCCACATTACTTCTCTTGACACACGATCGTAAGCTTTTTCCAGGTCAATAAAGATCATATGTAAATCACTTCTTTTACTTCTATATCTTTCCATTAATCCTCTTAGTAAATAGATTGCTTCTGAAGTGGATCTCCCTGGCATATATCCAAATTGGTTTTTTGAAATAGAAATCTCCAGCATCAACCTATATTCTATCACTTTTTCCCACAATTTCATTGCATGACTCATAAGTTTTATCCCTCTGTAGCTTGTATAGTTTTGAATGTCTCCTTTATTCTTGTAAATAGGAACTAAAATGCTTCTCCTCCACTCATTTGGCATATTCTTAGAGCGTAAAATTTCATTAAAAAGCTTGGTTAGCCACACCTCACCCTCATCTCCCAGACATTTCCAAACTTCAATACCATCAGGTCCAACGGCTTTTCCATTGTCCATTTTCTTGAGAGCTGCCTTAACCTCTCCGATACGGATCCTGCGATAGAAAGCCAAATTCTGATCATCTTCGTTAATTAGCAAGTCCTGTAAGTCCTGAGTCGCATAATTGCTTCCCTCATTAAACAACTTATAAAAATAAGCCTCCCATCTGTCCTTAATATCACCATCAATAACTAACACTTTATCATCTTCATCCTTTATACACTTTACTTGGTCCAGATCTCTCTTTTTCCTCTCCTTTTGCTTCGCAATCTTGTAAATATTTCTTTCTCCCGTCTTTGTTCCTAACTCTTGATAAAACCATTCATAAGCTTTAGTACGAGTTTCACTCACTGCTTTCTTCGTCTCTTTTTTAGCCAACTGATACTTTTTCCGGTTTTCTACACTATTGCACGAGTGCATGGCCTTAAAACAATCTCTTTTCTGTTTGACTTTCTCTTGCACACTCTTACCCCACCACCAAGTCTCCTTATCTCTCTGACCAGGACCTTTGGATTCTCCCAAAATTTCTTAACCCTTGTAGCTATCTCTTCCCACATCATGTTTGCATTTCCCTGCGACTCCCAAATCCCTTCCTCCAAAAGGGTACTTTTGAATAACTCTCATTTCTCACTCTTCAACTGCCACCACCTAACCCTGGGTTTTACCACTTGATGGTACTTTTGCCTGGTACTCTTAAAACGTACATTAAGAATAAGTACTCTATGTTGGGCAGTCACCCCATCTCCTGGAATCACTTTGCAATTAGTACACAATCTTCTGTCTGGATTCTTAACCAAAAAGAAATCAATATGTGATTTTGAGACACCACTTTTGTACGTGATTAAATGCTCCTCTCGCTTCTTAAAACGAGTGTTGACAATCTTAAGATTATATGCAAGAGAAAAGTCGAGAATAGATTGTCCTCCACTATTAAGCTCCCCAAAAACAAAACCACCATGGGCCCTGCTGAATTGTCCTGTTTCCTTACCGACATGTCCATTAAGGTCCCCACCGATAAAAACTTTTTCTTCGAGTGGTATACTTTGAACAACCCCTCCATATCTTCCCAGAACTTATCTTTAAGGTGTGTCTTTGTCCCAACCTGAGGTGTATAGGCACTAATGATATTGATAGTATCTTTTCCAACAATTACTCTTAACGATATTATTCTGTCCTCAAACCTTTTAACCTCTACCACGTTTCTTTTTTAACATAAGAACAATGATCCCCCAAATTAAAACACAGAATCAGAACAGTCTTCCATGCCCAGCAATCTGCAGTGAAGGATATCTTTGAATACAAATCACCAATTACTAGAATCCCAATTATGCTGCAAATGATCATGTTTCAACTTTCTTTGGAGGGGGAAAAAAGCCTTATCACTTCTATTATTTCTGCAGGGCTCCCCCACAACCAAGGGGCCAAAAAAATAAGAAAGAAAAGAAAAGAAAGTACATAAAATCAAACAAAATTGACCCATAAGTAAAACTTCTATTCACCCCCCGGGGGGAGGGGCGGGGGCGGGGGGAGGGGCGGTGATTCACCTCCCATACTCCATGCTTGCCATGAACATGTGATTCATGTTTCCCATCCATGCTTGCTTCACATCAAATATGTTTAGTTTCATGTATAAATGCTTCAATCACAGAGAAAACTTAAATAAAGAAATCGAAATTAACCTTGGCTTTGCAATGACGACATCTTTTGGGGACACAATGTAGTAAAGAGGTTCATCACCTGCAGCCCATTGACCACCAGCATAACTGCTACCTACATATGAATAAAAAGTTATCATCGTTTTTGTACAAGACCGCTTTGTGCATAAAACGTAGATCCTGAATAACACTAACCGAATGTTAACCTGAGAAGGGAGCATGGGCAAGTGAATAATCATTTGCCCTGTAATGTTCAAAGCCATGTAATGGTAGAGCATCTGTTGAAAGTTCATCATTGTTCCATGTTACTACATGTACTTCTGGTCTTTGTGCATTGCCCTGTTTAAAATATATTTGCAAGCCTTAAAAAAATGAAGTTTTTCAGATTTATAAAAAAGACAACAAAACAATTGCTCCATCTTTCTCGCATATTATGATATACAATTAGCAATTATTGCTTCCATTTTTAAATGTAGTGGACATGTTGCACAGCTAGCGTTAAACGAGCTTTAACAGAACTAATGCCAGATAGGAATATAATCAAAGAATACGGACCCTACCACAATGAGGCATCCCAAACTGAACAATGTAATGGGAAAATTTATTTGAATTTGATTATTTTGTAAGCAGCAGCAGGAAGCCGGTTTGCTACTTTGGCTTATGCAAAATATGAAATCATTAAAAGTTCCAATTTAGCCAACTCAGTGTTGACAATATACAACAAAAAATTAAATTAAATTAAATAAAATCCCATTATGTCCAAGAAAGAAGAGAGAGAAGAAAAGACAAAGTAAATCATTGTAGCTTAGGAAAAGAAAGAGGTAGAGGGAGAAAAGTACAATAGCCACAACGCCTTCAGCATGCACATGAGATACCTGCTGAGATGGAGAAGTTCCACTAAAATCCTGTTCTCCGTCTTCTCCAGGAATATAAGCAAGAACAACCAAAGCATCACCGAATGGAGCAATTCCTGAGATTAAATAGGAGGTTTGAAAAGATGCCACGATATCCACCTGGTTCATACTAGATATTGGGACTGGCCTGTTCATCCCATTGACTTGTTTATAGAGATTCATTCTTATTGATACAATTTTGATAGATGTTCCCCAAGCTATCACCAACAGGGTATCATCCTGAATGATGGAATTACATCAGGCTAAAGAAGTTGCATTAAGAAATGGTACATTGATGACAAACAAAATGTTATTGCAACTGTTCAGAGAACTCAAACAACCTTTCAATTTAATTGCAGCAGTGGATGCTAATTGCCAGAGTAACATGTCCCAACAGCATGTCCTCTTAAATATTTGACTAACCTGCCAAACCAAGTAAGGACACAGAAGCTCCATGTTTGGGCTCCCTCGTGGTTTTTCAATAAATGTTACACGCTGATTATTGGCTGTATCATAAACCTTCACTCCTGCATCATTGGCCCAAGCAACAAGACTTGTTCTCCATTTCACAGCATGTATTGGACCCTCACCATAGTGCAAAACCTTTTCTCCCCAGAAGGGGAAACATTTTTACAAGCATATATCAGGAAAAAAGTATTAAGTTATGTTCTAAGGGTCAATAGAAGCCTACAAACCTGATCACGATGGCCCAACCATGTTTTTGAATTGAGATGTAAATGGCCAACTAAACCACCTGCAACAAATCTCCTTGATGTTTTTCTTGCATAATTTGGGTCCAGAGCAATAGCCTTCATTGGACGACGATACTCAAGTTTCATTTTCTCACCAGTAAATAGGCTGTTTATTACCACGGATCCATCATCAGAACAGCTTCCAATATATTCACCTTCTAGGTCAAAGCTAAGGTCATTAACAACAGCAGCATGAGCAACAAACTCCTTCACCTGTAAAGGAGAAACGCAATTATAAGGCCTCAAAAAAGAAAAAAGAAAAATGCTCCCCACCAGAGGAGGAGGGGTGTTGGGATTCCTAAGACCTGTTATTGGCCGTCTCAACCGAGGAAAATAGCAACCACCTATTGTATAAGATAGTACAGTCCCTACGGTGTCAACTCAAAGGACCAAGCCACTGTAGTCCAGATGATACCCATAATTGGAGACATGACATACAGTTCAACAACGTGGCGCCTCAAAAAAAGTGCTTAATCATATTCCCAGCTCGGGGAAGGCTACCAATGGCAAGCCTGTAGACTACGGTCATATCCTGACTCTTGTGATTCCAAGAACCGGCTCAATTATCCCTCTCACTTCAGCTCAGATACTTGATACATCATAATTTTTTAAGCGGGAAAAAAGGAAGTCCCCAAACAGAGTAAGAAATAGCAAGGTGCCATTTGAACCACGACAGCTCGAATTTACACAAGTTATATAAATCAAGTAAGTGGTAGCTCACCTGATTCCCAAGAAAATCAAGGATATGGACGGTGCCACAATGAGTGCCTATGGCAATCATCCGCTCAGCAACAGCAACACACGACGCCGGATCACTGGCTAGCAGCGAAGGGATGCTGCCTCCCACTCTCTGGTACTTAAGCCTCGGCTCCTCTTCCTCTTCCTCATCCTCTTCTTCTTCCTCGTCGTCCTCCTCTCTTTCATCGTCTCCTTCAGCGCCGTTCCCAGACGGAAAAGGAGCCATTCTTATAATTATGCCCGGCGGCTTCGTGGTTGGTCTCCGAGAACAACGATTGTTTTTTGTCGGTCTCCTTCTGGGCTTTAGGCCTGTGAGAAGTATAAGTGAGTCCCGGAGATGATTTATGAGAGTGTGAAGTACAAACTGGAATAGCCCGAAGACAGAGAGATCTATCCCGGCGTTAGTGTTCGTTGTAGAGTGGGAAACAAAATGAAGGGGCTTGCAGATATCACGAAATAAGCTGTGGGACCAGCCTCAGGATCTTATTAACAGCCCCCCGCCACGACTGTCACGAGGTGCAGGCCAAAAAAGTAAAAACACCAAATGACCCAACTTTTTTCCGCAGACAAAATTCGACGTTGAGAGAACAAAAAAGTTTTGTTCACTTCAGTGGTTCCAGAAAATGGTCTTCGCTTAAACAAAGCATAATTTTTAATGTTGAATATCTTTTTGTGTGTATGTTTAAGAGTACTTCTTTACATTTTAACACGCAAGCGTATGTTATATCAACGATCAACCAATAGTCAGCTAAACTGAATTTATTTTATGTTTATTTTGGAGGTTGAAACCTTTTTTTTTTTTTTCAGGCGAATAAAACGGCATATATAAATGAAATAGGCTGCTTTCAGAGTTGACCATGGGAGGGACAGCACGTGAGGTTGACCTGCTGGTCAGCTGTCCCCAATCACGTTTTACGCGGCAATCTTCTGTCCTAAAATATTAGCTACCTCACCGCCCCAACTCCCTCGTACCCCTCCCGTGACCAGATTTGCTGCACTGCGAGACAGTTTCAGATTCCCCGGCGCGTTTCGATTCGTTTAGCAGCGAGGGAGCTTTTATCTACACGACTAGAGGTATTCCAACACATACGAGCTGTTGAGTACTTCCTCATATTCTATTTATAAAATCTTATTTTAAGCTATGAATAAGATGTTATAATTAGAATGAAATATAACATATAAAATTGCATGCATAACCTATAAGCATTGATTTTAGTAAAAAGGCTAGAAATCTCGAGTTAAAATAAATGCAAGAAGTGTTTTTAAGAGAATCACTCTCATTTGATCAACAATGCTCGAATCTGATTCATCCGACAAAGAAAAAAATTGTATGAATATATGTATGAGCGTGTGGAGAGTGGAATAAATACAAGTATACATGTGTGGCCATGAATGTGAAAAGAAAAGGCTGTTGTTCAGCAGGTTCATTGGCTATCACCACTGGCCCGTCTCCGGTCACCAGTCCAGGTAATTCAGTGCACAAGGCTGCCGATGATTGTCCTGACGACAGTCTTGAGGATCCGTTGCGCTATCACGACTTTGCAAATATGGCTGTCTGGGCGTGCAACATGGTGTATTCCTTAATGCTCAGTTATGGGTCTTTTCATCTTTTGAGTTTCAAAAATTGCAAGCACTTTGACATGGACGCCGTCATGATGGGGCATGAGAAGCAAAGGCAATTCAAATACATAAAAAAAAAAAAATCAATAAATATGGCTAAATCAATCTCTAATTCTTTTAAAGTTGCAAGGAGGTGATTTCTTAGCAAGAGAATCACATTATCGGAGAGCAATCCATATTATAAGTTATAGCTCATGATATTCATTATTAGTCACTTTAACTGATATGGATGCATTCGGTATTTTGGTAAGTACTACCTCCTTCGGCCTTTGATATAAAACCTTATTTAACTTTTATTTTGGTTTTAAATATAAAACTCCAATCCATCTTATCTATCATATTTATGCATTTTTTTTCAAGGTAGTTATTCTAACAATAGTAATTCTAGCCAATATACTTGATTAGTAAGGATATTTTAGGAAAAACAACAAATATTTATTATAGATAACTAACTTAACTTCTTCCTTTAATCTCCTTAAACTAGTCAACTAGCTTTTATAATTAGGACCGGATATAGTATTTTTTTTTTTTTTAGAGTTCAAGTTGTAATGTTTGTCTTGACTCTTGACCTTGATTAACAGTCAAGGGTCATTTTGCACAAACTCATGACTGTGGCAAATATTATGTATATCTTAATCATTAAAATTCTGTATATTTAAAAAATTACTAAAGTCACATTATTTTTTGTTATAAAGAATGATATATTAAAAAGTGAAACCATACAATACAAACTTAGGCCGCATTACATCAAGCTGAGACTAATCACAAAAAGGACCAACGACAGAAGATCATAAAAATACCTGGAGCCCAAGTTGATTGGTGATGAAAACACAAACAACCAATGTACTGCAAACAAGCAATTACAGAGTTATTGCAGTCCAGATTAGACGAACACGACAGGCATACCTCAGCAGCAAGCGAAGGTCATCTTCGACGAGATATAAAAACTGGACCGGTTGTAGTGGACTGCTCACAGTTTACACGGGATCGCCTGGGATCAAGTCTCCATCGGTTTTGCCCGTCAACTGAACCAAACAAGTGCATGGTTTGGTCTCCGGTTTCTGGATCTACCCAATCGATCCGATCTGGTTTTCCATGCGATGATTTCCCACCCAACAAGTGCAGGAACCGAGACGTTATTCTTCTCCGGTCCCCACGCCATTATGCTCAAGGGTATCTCGGCGGATATTGGAACCGCTATGCGTAGGAAAACTTTTCCAGAGCCAAAGAAAGTGGCATAAAAGCCAGAGAAGCCTCATGTAAAGCTTGACATTGACTACAAACTTACCATGACAGCTGAAAAAAGAATCGTAAGATAAAACAAAGGACCATAACTAAGAAAACAGAAAGCCACCGTAGTATGAAAATCTGAAAAAACCAAAACACAATGGAACAAAAGTAATGAAAAAGAAAAAGAATCCACCGAGAAATGGAGAATTGTCTGGACACATATTGGACACTTCAATTTCCAGTGGCACAGAAGATATGGAAATGGGTTCGTGTGTGTCGACGCGTCGCGGGACCATTCATATGATGGTGATAAAAAATGATTGACAATATGTTGCGTGAGGGATTCTTTTGTCATATTGCCCTTCTATTTTTCTTTTAATATAATTTTTCATCCATGAAATTTGAGTTGTTTTGATTTTAGTTTCTAAAATTTCAAACATGTGGTTTTAGTCTATTTTAAAACCTTAGTTTCTAAAAATGTAACAGTGTTAAAATTTGTTGGAATATTGTAAATGGTATTAAAGTAATGATAATGACTCACTAGATGACACCTAATTAGATCTTGTGCAAATAACAGGATGATTATAAAAAAAGGGGATATAAATTCTTATTTGGATTATTAAATTTATTAAATTCCTAATTAGGTCACATGATCTCAAGAGGAATTTTTAAATTTTGTGAAATGACTCTAATGCCTTTTTTATTAAAAACCTAGAGGAATGAAAATTTTCAATTTTCTATCATTCTCAAGTTGTTAATTTAAAATTGAACTTGTTAATTTTTAAAGTTGTATTGTGATTATTTTTTATCCAAAGACTTATTGCAAGTATGTTTTGGAAACAAAATTGTTAATTTATAATTGAAATATATTAACTGTGAAATGCAACATGTTACGTTTTAAGATTATATTGTGATCAAATTTTATTTAAATACTTATTACAATGTTACGAGGATCTAAAACTGTTAATTTAAAACTAAAACTTGTTAATTACCTAATTGAACTTATTAATTTTTAAGGTTATATTGTGATCAAATTTTATTTAAAAATTTATTGCAAGTGTGTTATGGAGACAAAAAATTGTTAATTTAGAATTGAAATGTATTAAATGCAAAATGGAAAATATTACTCCTTCAATCTTTAATATTTGACCTAATTACTAAATTAATTTTGATTCTAAATATAAGACGTATTTCTCGTATTTATCAATTTTTCTTAAATTACCACTATGGATACTCCCTCAACCATAATCAAGTAAGTGAGAGAGGAATGATATTAAGAAAAATGATTATGATACTTTAGAAAAAACATATCATATTTCTTATAATTAACTAGCTTACTTAACTTCCTTAATATAATCAAATTAGTTAAATAAGTTTTATATTAAGGACCGGAGGAGTAATTTAGAATTCTCTCTTGGTTTCTAATGAAATGGACATTAGTCATTTCATAAAATTTTAAAATTCCTCTTTAGATCATGTGGTCTAACAAATTTAATGACCTAAATAAGTAGAGCCGGAAAAACGGGTCGAGCCAGTCGAACTGGCCTATTTAGGCCCAAAAATTACAAGAGCCAAACTTGAAATTTTTCCTCTTAAATAGGAAACAGGCCCTAAAAGGGCCGGCCAGTTTAGGCCATTTTTATTTTTTTTTTGTTTTTTTAAATTTTTTGTGTGTAATTCTAATATTATTAACTTTTTATATTGCTAATGATATTTTAAATATTTAGTAATTATTATCATTTTAAAATTAAATTTCACAGAATGGTTTGATTTATTTAGTTTTAGACAATAATTTGTCTAATTAAATTTAAAAAAAATTGGTTAATTTAGATTTTAATAATAATTTGATTTATATTACATGTGTTGATATTTTTAAAATATATATTTGATAAGAGAGTATTTTTATATTTATATAACTTGTAATTCTATAATTTGAATTAGAAATTTATGAGTTTCAACAACAATATTTCTTAAACTAAAGTAAAATAATAGCTATATTACAAAATTTAAAAATAAAATTCCTATAAAGAAGAAAAGCTTGATATTTTGTTACAAAAGAAAATCATACTTATGAAGAAGAGTAATTGGTTATAGTGATGATGAAGTTTCAAAAGATTAATGATAGTGTTTGTTTATTGCACATTTATACTATAGATAAAACTTTTGGATGTTGTATCTTATTAATAAATGTTTTAGATGTTCTTGGATGTTGATGGATATTTATATATGATAATATTTTGTATTTGTAACTTTATTTTATTCACATTTATGTCATTTATCAATAAACGAAATTTATTTTCATTTTTTTGATAAAAATATGAGAAATATAAAAAATAGGATCTTTTTTTTAAACCGGCCGAAAGCCCGTGAGCCGGCCGCGAGTCCATTAACTTAAGGGTTAGCCTAATAAATTGAGATCTTTTTGAAATTTTGGCTTTGTAAGGCTGGCTCTTTTAAGCCCACCAGCCTTGCAAGGCCATTCCCAACTGTAGGAATAAGAATTTAAGTTATTAGAGTGTCTTTTTGAAATATTTCCCCAAAATTATATTAACCCTTTTATTTTA